AAGGCAGGACAATATTCAACTCCAGGTAATACAGAGAACACCACAAAGATATTCCTCAAGAAGAGCAACCGCAAGGCACATAATTGTTAGATTCACCAGGGTTGAAATGAAGGAGAAAATACTAAGGGCAGCCAGAGAGTAAGGTCAGGTTACCCACAAAGGGAAGCCTATCAGACTCACAGCAGATCTCTCAGCAGAAACCCTACAAGCCAGAAGAGAGTGGGGGCCAATATTTAACATTCTTAAAGAAAAGAACTTTCAACCCAGAATTTCACATCCAGCCAAACTAAACTTTACAGTCGAAGGAAAAATAAAATCTTTTGTGAATAAACAAGTACTCAGATTTCATTACCACCAGGCCTGCTTTACAAGAGCTTCTGAAAGAAGCATTACACATAGAAAGGAACAACCAGTATTAGCCTTTCTAAAAACATACCAAAAAGTAAAGAGTATCAACATAATGAAGAATTTATATCAACTAATGGGCAAAATAGCCAGCTAACAATGGCAATAATTTAAATTTAAATTGACTAAATCCCCCAATCAAAAGATACAGCTAAAACCCATCGGTATGCTTCATCCAGACCCATCTTATATGCAAAGATACATAAAGAGTCAAAACAAAGGGATGGAGAAAGATTTGTCAACCAAATGGAGAGCAAAAATAAATAAATAAATAAAAAGCAGAAGTTGCAATTCTCGCCTCGGATGGAATGGATTTCAAAGCAACAAAGATCAAAAGAGGACATAATGGTAAAAGGATCAACGCAACAAGAAGAGCTGACGATCCTGGATGTGTACGCACCCAATACAGGATACATAGGACTTGTAAAGAGACTTGGACTCCCACACAGTAGTAGTGGGAGATTTCAACATCAATATTAGATAGATCAATAAGACAGAAAATTGAGGATATCCAGGACTTGAACTCAGATCCAGAACAAGTAAACTTAATAAACATTTACAGAACTCTCCACTTTAAACACACAAGATATGCACTCTTATCAGTACCACATCACACCTACTCACAGGTTTAAATGAAATATTGGTTGGCCATTATTAAGCACAATTGATGGCATAAGGGAGGTTTTCAATACCCATTTTTAGACTGCATTCTAGCCTGGGCAATTAAGCAACACTCCCATTCTCTCTCCCTCCTCCTCTTCCTCTTTTTTCCCCTTCTTCATTCCTTTTTCTTTTTTTCTTTCTTTCTCTATTTCTAAAAAAAAAAAGGGAAATAACTCAGGGTCCTGATGAAAACCCAGCTGCTTTCCTAGACCGATTAACTAATGCTATGATCCTCCATACCTGGCTGGATCCGGCCTCCTTAGGAGGGGCTACAGTCCTAGCCACCCACTTCATCTCCCAGTCAGCAGCTGATATAAGGAGGAAACTTAAAAAAGCTAAGGAGGGCCCGCAAACTCCCATATGGGACCTGGTGAACATGGTATTTAAAAGTTTTCAATGGCCAAGAAAAAAAGGCTGAGGCCACTCACCAGGCCCATTTACAGCAAAAGGTAAGCCTCCAAACCCGAGCTCTTGTAGCAGCCCTGAGGCTGGCAGCCCACCAAACATCCGGTGGAGGGGGTCCATCAAAACCCTCACAAAATTCTTCAAAGGTCACACCTGGGCCCTGTTTCAAATGTGGCCAGGAGGGACACTGGGCACAGCAGTGCCCCTGTCCTCGTCCACCTCCTGGACCCTGCCCAAGCTGCAAACAGACTGGACACTGGAAGGTTGACTGCCCGTCCTGGGCTGCAGGCTCACCCCCAACACCTCTATGTGGAGAGCAGGCCGGTCTGCAGGAAGCAGCTTCTTCGCTTGAACTTCTCGGCCTTCTGGACAACTGACACAACCTGGACTCAAGGACCCCCATCACCCTTGCTGAGCCCAGGGTAATGCTGCAGGTAGCAGGTAAGTCCATTTCCTTTTTAGTGGATATGGGGGCTACCTATTCTGTACTGCCTTCCTACTCAGGACCTAGCATACCTTCCCAGGTTTCAGTCATGGGGATTGATGGAAAGCCCTCCTGTCCTAATCAAACTCATCCCTTAGCCCGTGTCCTTGAGGGACACCCCTTCTCCCACTCCTTTCTAATCATACCCTCATTCCCAGTCCCCCTTTTAGGATGAGATAGTCTCCAGACTGTAGGGGCCACCCTCCAACTCACTGGCCCCCACATTCAGGCCCATCCTCCACCCACCTCCTATTGCTACTCCTAGCTGGTACTACACCCTGTCTTGACCCTTTGCCTCAATCCCCTATCCCTCCTAATGAAGTTAATCCCTTGGTATAGGATACCTCCAAGCCTGTGGTGGCCCCACATCACATGCCAGTTAAAATACTTCTCAAAAAACCCTACCCACTTTCCCTCACATCCTCAGTTTCCCATCTCAAAAACCCACTGCCAGGGCCTAAAGCCTATCATCACCCGACTTCTGGCCCAGGGACTCCGTATCCCCACCGGTTCTCCTTGTAATACTCCTATCTTACCGGTCCAAAAGTCGACCAGTAACTACCGCCTAGTTCAGGACCTGCGCCTCATCAACAAGGCAGTGGTACCCCTCCACCTGGTTGTCCCCAACCCATACACCCTATTATCCAACATTCCCTCCACTACTTCTCATTTTACAGTTCTTGACCTCAAGGATGCCTTCTTTACTATTCCCCTTCACCCAGAGTCTTACTTCCTCTTTGCCTTCACCTGGACCGATCCTGACACCAACCTGTCAGAGCAGCTCACCTGGACAGTCCTGCCCCAGGGATTTAGAGACAGCCCCCATATTTTTGAACAAGCCTTAGCAGCTGATCTTAGCTCCTGCTTCCTCCAACCCAGTCTCCTTCTCCAATACCTTTTCTGGATGGATTGAAGCCTTTCCCACCTCCAGGGAAACTGCAGACATGGTGGCCTCCCTCTTAATTCAGGAAATCATCCCTTGTTTCGGCTTACCTGGAAACATCCAGTCAGACAACAGTCCAGCATTTATAGCTCAGGTGGTCCAGCTGGTCAACAAGTCTCTCAACATCTCCTGGAAACTACACATTCCCTACCACCCTCAGTTGTCGGGTAAAGTTGAACAGGCTCACGGCATCCTCAAAGACCATTTGGCCAAACTTACCATCGAGGTAAAACTCTCCTAGCTCACACTCCTGCCTCTTGCTCTAGCCCAAGTCCGGGCCACCCCACAGGGGCCTATGGGCCTCAGCCCCTTTGAATTGCTGTATGACCGGCCCTTCCTGGTCTCCAATAATCTCCTGGTACAGCCACCTCCCCTAGCCTCCTACCTCCCCTATCTCTCCCTCCTCTGCCACTTACTCAGGGAGCATGCAGACTGTACCCTCCCAGTTACTACAGAGAGGAGAGAGAAGACAGAGAGGAGAGAGGAGACAGAGAGGAGAGAGGAGACATTCTCAAAATGTCTCTCTCTTCTATAAGACAACCAGCAGCCCCAGCCTCAAGTGCAACACCACACTAGAAGTATACGGGCAAACTGAGTTCCTATCCCTCATCGCACCAACCCCTAATCACTGGAGCAAATGAGCAGTCTTCCTCCCAATAGTGGTTGGCCTCTCCTTAGCTTCCTCTCCAGCAGCAGCTGGAATAGGGAGTGGTACCCTGGGCTACAGTGTCACTTCAGCCACCCAACTAGAAGACAAGCTCCATGTGGCCATTGAGGCATCAGCTGCCTCTCTGGCCTCCCTCCAGTGACAAATCACGTCGCTGGCCCAGGTAACTCACCAAAACCGATGGGCCCTAGACCTGCTAATGGCAGAAAAAGGAGGTACCTGTCTGTTTCTTCAGGAACAGTGCTGCTACTATAGCAATGAAACAGGCCTTGTAGAAGAGAACGTCAACGCTCTCTATTGCCTCCAAGAAGACCTCCGAAAAAAACAGAATGCACCAGTCTCGCCTCTCAACTGGTGGCAATCCCCCTTGCTTACCTTGCTTACCCTATTATCACCCCCATCATTGTTGTTCGCATTCTATTTTTGTTAGCCCCTTTTTTCCTCAGGTTTTTACAGGCCTGCATAAGGGAAATTTCCAGGGTGGCCATAAACCAGATGCTGCTTCACCCCTATGTTCGACTCCCAACTGAGGCACCAGCCAACTGACCCCTCCCCCTCACTCTGCCCCTATTCAGCAGGAAGTAGCCAGAAATAAGCGGTGTCCTATATAATCAAAACGGTCGGAATGTAAGGCTGGTTGCCTCGCGGGGAGCTGGGACATGCCCATCCCTCTCTGTGCCTGAAAACTACGTCACCACTCCACGCTCGACATCAAGCTCTGCACTTGGCACCTAGCCCGCCTTTGGAAGACCCCACCAAAACCTGCCCAATAGCACAGCCCGCTCACCGGAAATCCTGCCTACCTACCAATAGCAGCTTGCCCCGTCCACGTCCTGTTTCTCCACAGCCAATCAAATGCCTTCACTCCCTATAAACCCCCACGTCCGAGAGAAGTCAAGTGCAACTTCTCTGGCCCCTTTCCCCAGGACATGGAACCTCGCCCAGGAGCCATTTAAATTTCTTTATTTCAATAACTGGCCTCAGTTGCTGCATTTGAACCCTTACACCTGGGAGGCAGAGGTGGCAGTATGCTGAGATCACACCACTGCACACCAGCCTGGGTGACAGATGGGACTCCATCCCCCTGCCAAAAAGAAAAGCAACAACAACAAATGCACAAAGATGGGGGTCTTACTGTATTACCCAGGCTTGAACTCCTGGGCTCAAGCAATCCTGAGATTTGGAGAAAATCGGTAGAGTTTAAACAATACAGAACATAGCATATTGCTCTGCCTCATTCCCTACAGTGGGTAATTTTTGAAACAGAAGTGGTGAAAGACCAGGAAATTAATACTCAGCAATGTACACTATTATGATGCATTTAACCCACAGTAAAGCAGGGTCGCCAATTCTGCCCTTCACATGACCTTTTCTACCTTTTTTATTGACAAGAGGTTGGGGAATTAAGTGGAACTCGTTTTTAAGAGATTTACCTATAAATTCATTAAGCAGGTTGGCACCAGGGGTCTTGCCATTTAGTAGACAGCTCCTGTAATAATATAAATAACCAAATGTTTCACAAACCTCAGAATCATCCAAGTTTTACTTGTACAATTTTTACCTATATATTGACTCATGTAAAATATAAATACATATATTTCTTTTATTTGTTTATTTGAGACAGGGTCTTACTCTGTTGCCCAGGCTGGAGTGCAATAGCACCATCTCTGCTCACTGCAACCTCCATCTCCCAGACTCAAGTGATCCTCCACCTCACCCTCTCAAGTGACTGGGACTACGGGCACGTGCCACCATGCCTGGCTAATTTTTATTTTTTTTTGGTCGAGACAGGGGTTTCGCCACGTTGCCTAGGGTGGTCTCATGCTCCTGGGCTTGGCCGGGTGTGGTGGCTCACTACTGTAATCCCAGCACTTTGTGAGACCAAGGCAGGTGGGTCACGTGAGGTCAGGAGTTCAAGACCAGCCTGCCCAACATCGTCAAATTCCGTCTCTACTAAAAATACAAAAATTAGCCAGGCATGATGGTGAGTGCCTGTAATCCTAGTTACTTGGGAAGCTGAGACTGGAAAATCACTTGAATCCAGGAGGCAGAGGTTGAAGTGAGCCAAGATTGTTTCACCGCATTCCAGCCTGGACAACAAGAGCAAAACTCCTCAAAATAAAACAAAACAAAAAACTCCTGGGCTCGGCCAGGTGCAGTGGCTCATGCTGTAATTCCAGCACTTGGGAGGCCAAGGAGGGCAGATCACCTGAGGTCAGGAGTTTGAGACCAATCTGGCCAACATGGTAAAACCCTGTCTCTACTAAAAATACAAAAAAATTAGATGGAAGTGGTGCTGGGCACCTATAATCCCAGCTACTCAGGAGGCTGAGGCAGGAGTATCACTTGAACCTGGGAGGCAGAAGTTGCAGTGAGCCAAGACAATGCCACTGCACTCCAGCCTGAGTGAAGAGCAAAACTCTGTCTCAAAAAAACAAAAAACAAACATACAAAAAAACTGGGCTCAAGCAATCCACCCACCTCAGCCTCCTAAAGTGTTGAGATTACAGGCATGAGCTACCTCGTGCAGCCAACAAATGTATTTTTAAAAGCAGCCATCACTATTGTAAAAAGAAAACCAGGATCACTTGGCACAAGTATAAGTTATCCATTAAAATAAGTTTTTAGATACAGATGTTATTACATTCTAGCTGGGTGCAGCTGTTTTGCCTACTGTAACATTAGCGAAGGGTTTTTTCTTTTTTTTATCTTAAGATCTGCTGGTTTCATAGGGAAGTGTTAAAGATCACTAAGCCTGGAATAGGACACCAAAAAGATTAAAAAAAAAAAATCGGCCAGCATGGTGGCTCACGCCTGTAATCCCAGCACTTTGGGAGGCCGAGGTGGGTGAATCACTTGAGGTTAGGAGTTAGGCACCAGTGTGACCAACACAGAGAAACCCCTGTCTCTACCAAAAATATAAAAATTAGCAGGGTGTGGTGGCAGGAGCCTGTAATCCCAGCTACTCAGGAGGCTGAGGCAGGAGAATAGCAAGAACAGGGTAGGCGGAAACTGCAGTGAGCTATCACGCCACAGCACTTCAGCCTGGGTGACAGAGTGAGACTGTCTCACAAACAACAAAAAAAATTACCGCCTGGCATGGTGGTTTATGTCTGTAATCCCAGCACTTTGGGAGGCCAAGGCAAGCGGATCACAAGGTCAAGAGTTTGAGACCAGCCTGGTGAATATGGTGAAACCCTGTCTCTATGAAAAATACAAAAATTAGCTGGGTGTGGTGGATTGTACCTGTAGTCCCCACTACTCAGGAGGCTGAGGGAGAAGAACTGCTTGAACCCAGGAGGTGGAGGTTGCACTGAGCCAAGATCATGCCACTGTACTCCAGCCTGGGAGACAAGAGCAAGACTCCAACTAAAAAAAAAAAAAAAACAAAAAAAACCTCACTAACTCCAAACAAAAGACATTCTTCCTGATAAGATAAAAAGCACTAAAAAAAGACTTGAAAAGCCAGTAACTTTCCCTCTCTAGGACTCAATGGCATTTAATGCTTGGCCCCTGTACCATCTGAAATCACTGCTTCAGAAACCCTGCAGAACCCAAACCCCCCACCCACTCCCAGACCTTATATTAATAGCTCCCAAAAGAAAATAATCAACACTTTGTCTCTCTCTCTCAAGTCTAAATAAAAAAGAACAGATTTCATTATCTAGTAGAGTAGGCAAAACCTTAATAACATTCATCCATGCAGAGAACTAGGTTTAAAAACCTACCAATGTCCAAAATGGCTAATCCCCAAGACAGGGCCACTTCGCTTCCATTAACTTTATATTTTTGGACAAGAGGAGTTGAAGAAGCCACCAGAACACAAATGGGGAAACCACTAAGGACAAATATAGGTGACTGTTCTTCCAAAGGGACTTACATGGTAAAGGTTTGAGCAGCCACTCCAATGGCTGGGGTCTGGTCCCTACTAGAGAGGGTGACTTTTATTCGCTGCCACGGAGGCTGGAACATTGACAGCAGAGACGGACTGCTGGGTCTCAGTGGCTGAAGCTGAAGCCTCAGAGGCAGATGATGCAGTGGCCAGGGCAGATGGTTCCTGATGTCGTTTCTGGCTGGGTAGTAGCTGTGGAGCCTCAATAGCCTGAGCAACTGGCATCTCAGGAACCTTCAGGACACTTGAAGACTGACTTAAGGAACTCTCCTGCACTACAGACGTGCTGGGGATGGCCTGCTGCATTTGAAGTAGGGCATGCAGGTCCTCGACAGCCTGAGAGGCCTGTGGATCCGCAATAGGAAAAGGCTGGGCAGATAGAGACTGCCCCACATGGACCCGGGTAGCCAGTGACTAGGTTACAGAAACCGAACTAGGTGGTGGAGGCTGAGTTTGAGAGGACTTAGGAAGATTCTGCAGCGGGTCCTGTGAGGGCACAAGCACCAGGGGCTGGCTGAGGGAGACCGCAGGGACCTGGAGGTGGCTCTGAGAGGCCATGGGGACAGCAGGTTGGCTGTTAGAGGACCAAAAAACCAAAGGCTGGCTCTCAGAAGTACAAATGGCTAGAGGGTGTGTAGCAGAGATGGAGGGGGCTACAATCAGGCTCTTAGAGGGCTGGAGGATGGAAGGTACAGAAGGTACAGGCTGGTGAAGAGGCAACACAGGCCGCTCCGGATGGGTGGGGGGTAGTTGATAGATGGACGGCGGCTGGGCATCCGAGCCCGGGGAGCCAATAGTCTTTGAATTTTTGTCACCTTCAGGCTCGGCACCAGATCTTCTTTGCCAAAGTCTTGAGAAACATCACTCCCCTTGACCCCTTCCTCTCCATCTTTGTCCCTGCTCTTTTTTCCCAGCTGTTCTTCTATGTGGATGGAGACAGGCATGGTCAGGAACGCCTCTTTTTGAAAGGTCCTCCGATGGCGCCGCCGCTGCATCAGCCAGTTGGCGGAGATATTCCCGATGCTCACAAAGAGGCAGTGGCTGGCGCTCTGGCGCAGAGCCTCCACCACGGAGGCGGAGGCATGCAGGAGTCCTTCTTCAAAGTCTCTTCCGAGAGCAGCTCGATGTTGCCGGTGTACCAGGAGGCCCACCAGAGGAGGATGAGGAAGATGATGATGGAGCCCAGGTAGACCAGCATGTCGTAGAAGGCCAGGTCCAAGAAGACGCCGGTGAGCAGCACCCCCAAGCCCACCGTGTCGAAGACGACGCCCAGCCAGAAGAAATGCCGGCAGCGGCCCAAGCTCCACTGCTTCCCGGCCGTATTGACCGTCTTTACTGGAAGTTCCATAACGCTTCCACTCTCGCCGCCGCAAGGCCCAAAGAGCCCCCTAGGCGGACGGCGCCGCCACAGGCTGGCTGCAGCCGCTGGGTCCCCATGGCAACGCCGTCGAGGCGCGTCGCTCAGAGGGCGGGAAAATTAGGCCACTTCTCGCCCTCCTGTCGTATGCGCATGCACAGTAAGCCCCGTCGCCCGCGGGGCCGCTTTCTGCGCATGCTCAGCGATCTTTACGGTGTTGTCCGGCAAGTCCGCTTCTACGGGCAGCCTGGGACTCTCAGGCTCTGGGTCTTGATTCCAGGCGTGTTTGCCCTAGTGACGATTATTAACATACTTCTGCTAGTTAATAGCTAACCTAGAGTTGAATTGTCTTTAGTTTCTTCCCTTTTGTTGTTTCACAGTTTTTTTTTTCCTTTTGATCTGTTTATCCAGAACACTAGAAAGCGGGGGCTGCTTTTCCCACTGCTCGCAAACGCGGAAGATTGGGAAAATGTGTCAAAAATAGAAAAACTGGGTGGAACCGGAAAATTAAATGGCTTAAAAATGAGCTCATTTTGGCTGGGCGCGGTAGCTTATTCCCATAATCCCAGCACTTTGGGAGGCGGAGGAGGGCGGATCGTTTGAGGCAAGGAGTTTAAGACCAGCCCGGCCAACATGGTGAAACCCTGTCTTTACTAAAAATAAAGAAGTTAGCCGGGTGTGGTGGCAAGCGCCTATAATTCCAGCTACTTGGGAGTCCAAAGCAGGAGAATCGCTTGAAGCAGGGCGGCGGAGATTGCAGTGAGCCGAGATCGTGCCACTGCACTCCAGCTAGGGTGATAGAGTGAGACTGTCTCAAAAGAAATAAAAATAAAATAATTAGAAAATAATGCTCGATTTTTTTTTTTTTTAACCACCCTCTGTTTCAATCAGAAAGTATAGTTATCTCCCTGGCCCTGGCTTGGTGGCTCACGCCTATAATGCCAGCACTTTGAGAGGCCAGGGCAGGTGGATCATTTGAGGTCAGGAGTTTGAGACTAGCCTGGCCAAAATAGTGACACCCCATCGCTACTAAAAATACAAAAAAGTTAGTCAGCCATGGCTGGGCACGGTGGCTCACGCAAGTAATTCCAGCACTTTTGGGAGGCTGAAGCGGCCGGATCACCCGAGGTCAGGGGTTCAAGACCAGCCTGGCCAACATGGTGAAACCTGTTCTCTACAAAAATACAAAAATTAGCTGGGCATGATGGCGGGTGCCTGTAATCCCAGATACTTGGGTGGCTCAGGTGGAAGAATTGCTTGAACCCGGCAGTCGGAGATTGCAGTGAGCCGAGATTGCACCATTACACTCCAGCCTGGGCGACAAAGTGCAACTCCATTAAAAAAAAAAAATTAGCCAGGCATGGTAGTTCATGCCTATACTCCTAGCTACTCTAGAGACTGAGGCAGGAGAATCACTGGAACTCAGGAGGTGAAAGTTTCAGTGAGAGGAGACTGTGACACTGCACTCCAGACTGGATGACAGAGCAAGACTTCATCTCAAAAAATAAATAAAGTATAATTATCTCCTCATTTGGTTTCATGTGATACTAGTTTGATACAAGAGCCACTTATAATGAATGCTATTTCTTAGCTATTGCATTAGCTCAAAGTGCAGTCCCAAAGCAGCAGCAGCAGCAGCAGCACCTGGGAACATGTTACAGATGTAAATTACAAAGTGCCACCCAGACTGCCTGAATCAGAAACTCAGGACTGGGTCAGCCCTTGGATTTTGTTGTTGTTGTTTCGTTTGGTTTAGTTTGAGACAGAGTCTCCTTCTGTCACCCAGGCTGGAGTTCACTGGTGCGATCTTGGCTCACTGCAATTTCTGCCTTCTGGGTTCAAGCAATTCTCCTGCCTCAGCCTCCCAAGTAGCTGGGTTTACGGTGCGCGCCACCATGCCCAGCTAATTTTTGTATGTTTAGTAGAGATGGGGTTTCACCATGTTGGTCAGGCTGGTCTTGAAGTCCTGATGACCTCAAACGATCCACCCACCTTGGCCTCCCAAAATGCTGGAATTACAGGCATGAGCCACTGCGCCTGGCCAGCCCAGTTTTAATAAGCACTTTAATACAAGCTCGAGTTTAAGAACCACTGAGCTACTGCAGTACTTTAGGGCTGTCAGGTTAAATACAGGCTACTCAGCTAAACACTGAATTATTTTTTAGTATAAACAAAATAATATTTGTTGAGATGGAGTCTCACCGTGTCGCCCAGGCTGGAGTGTGCAGTGGCACAATCTCAGGTCACTAAAACCTCCACCTCCCGAGTTCAAGCGATTCTCCTGCCTCAGCCTCTGGAAGATTACAGGCATAGCTGGGATTACAGGCATGCACCACCATGCCTGGCTAATTTTTTGTATTTTCAGTAAAGACAAGGTTTCACCATGTTAGTCAGGCTAGTCTCAAACTCCTGACCTCTAATGATCCATCCATCTCGGCCTCCCAAAGTACTAGGATTACAGGCGTGAGCCACCATGGCTGGCCTGCATTTTTCTTTACATGAGTAATTTCATAAAGAAAATCTGAAAAAGATGACAAAGTTGATTAAAAAAAAAAAAAGAAACACTGTTCACTGAAAAAGCAGTATGAGCCAGGTGCAGTGGGTCATGTCTGTAATCTCAGCACTTTGGGAGGCCGGACAGGTGGATAGCTTGAGGTCAAGAATTCGAGACAGCTTGATCAACATGGTGAAACCCTGCCTCTACTGAAAATACACAAATTAGCTGGGCATAGTGGCAGGCCACCTGTAATCCCATCTACTTGGGAGGCTGAGGCAGGAGACTCGCTTGGACCCGAGAGGCAGACGTTGCAGTGAGCCAAGATCGAATGACTGTACTCCAGCCTGAGCAACACAGGAGTCTCAAACTCCTGACCTCAGGTGATCCACCCACCTTGGCCTCCCAGAGTGCTGGAATTACAGGCTTGAGCCACTGTGCCCAACCAGGACACACTTTTGTTTCTTGAAATACCCACTCTTGAAACAGTCTTTCCTAACCCACTTGCTAGGCCAACAGAGCATAGGAGGAGCCAGAGTGTTTATATTTGACCCCAATACCTCTGAAGGTCCTTCAGTGGAGCCTGAATAAAGGTGTAAACAAAAATCATGGGTGTCTCCTTTTTTCTACTGGTTATAGGGCCGTCGCAGAATCCTGAGAAGAAGAATGTCTTCTACATGTGATTTAGGTTGTCTTGATTAAATAAGAGTAAAACATCTAAACTCTTTTTTTGCTCCTATAACAGAATACACACACTGGGTGATTTATAAAGAATAGAAGTTTAAGGCTGGGCGTGGTGGCTCACTCCTGTAATCCCAGCACTTTGGGAGGTCGAGGTGGGCAGATCACCTGAGGTCAGGGGTTCGAGACCAGCCTGGCCAACATGGTGAAACCCCATCTCTAGTGAAAATACAAAAATTAGTTGGACGTGGTGGTGGAAAGCTGTAATTCCAGCTACTTGGGAGACTGAGGCAGAATTGCTTGAACTCAAAAGGCAGAAGTTGCAGTGAGCTGAGATCCCGCCATTGCAGTCCAGCCTGGGTGACAAGATCAAGACTCTGTCTCCTGAAAAAAAAAAAAGAAAGAAAGAAAATATTTGGGCTGGGTGCAGTGGCTCATGCCTGTAATCGCCACATTTTAAGCAGCCAAGATGAGAGGATCACTTGGGCCCAGGAGTTTGAGACCAGCCTGAAAAACATAGTGAGATCCATCTCTATTAATTTACTTTCTTATTTATTTATTTTTGAGACAGAGTCTTACTCTGTTTTCCAGGCTGGAGTGCAGGGGCATGATCTCGGGTCAGTGCAACCTTCGACCTCCCAGTTCAAGTGATTCTACTGTCTCAGCCTCCTGAGTAGCTGAGATTACAGGTGAGCGCCACCACCCCCAGCTAATTTTTGTATTTTAGTAGAGATACGGTTTCACCAAGTTGGTCAAACTCCTGACCTACCAAAGTGCTGGGATTACAGGTGTGAGCCACTGCACCCAGCCCTCTAATAATCTAAACATTGTTAATAAATATAAGAAAACATTTGTTAGGTGTATAGTAGGTAACAGAAAGGTATCTGAACATAAAATGAAGAAACACCATATTGAATCCAGAAGTACATTAAAAAACACAAAATGAAACAGCAAAGTGGCCAGGCCCCGCTGAGTCGGGGGACTGGGTCTGGGATGGGTACCCTCCTCATCAATAAGATGCGGGAGGAGTACCCAAACAGGATCATGAACACATTCAGTGTGGTGCCCTCACCCAAGGCGTCAGACATGGTGGTGGAGCTCTACAATCCCACCCTCTCCATCCACCAGCTCGTAGGAAACAGAGACGAGACCTACTGCATGGATAATGAGGCTCCCTATGACATCTGCTTCAGAACCCTAAAGCTGCTACGCCCACCTGCGTAGCAGGTGGTGTCTGCCACCATGAATGGAGACACTACCTGTCTGTGCTTCCCAGGTCAGCTCAGTGCTGACTTCAGGAAGCTGGCTGTGAACATCGTCCCGTTCCCCCACCAACACTGCCTCATTTCCAGCTTTGCCCCCCTGACCAGCAGGGCAGCCAACAGTCCTGGACTCTGAAAGTGCCCGAGCTCACCCAGCAGATGTTGGATGCCAACAACATGATGGTGGCCTGAGACCCCTGCCACGGCCACTACCTGATGTTTGCTGCAGTGATAAGGGTCCACATGTCCACGAAGGAGGTGGACAAGCAAATGCTTAATGTCCAAAACAAGAACAGCGGCTACTTTGCTGAGTGGATCCCCAACAATGAGAAAATAGCTGTCTGTGACATCCTGCCCCGAGAGCTAAAAATGTCCAACACCTTCACTGGCAACAGCAGGGCCATCCAGGAGCTGTTCTAGTGCATCTTGGAGCAGTTCACAGCCATGTTTCCACACAAGACCTTCCTGCACTGCTACATGAGCAAGAGCCTGGATGAGATGGAGTTCACCCAGGCCAAGGGCAACATGAATTACCTGGTGTTCAAATACCCACAGTACCAGGACACCATGGCCGAGGAGGAGGGCGAGTTTGAAGAGGAGGTGGCCTGAAGCCTCCAGTCACCGAGGAAAGCAGGGAGCGGTGTGAACTCTTTATTCACTTCCAGTGTGTCCTCTGACCTGTGCCTCTGTGTGTGCACTTGGT